TCAAATCTCAGCCCAGACAACAGATTCCCTTACCCATCTCTATTTCCCAGGAATGGAGCTTCCCCTTTGGCTGTAGGCACCAGCTAACAGGACACAGTAAAAAGGTGGAGAGGAGACTCAGTTTGTTAGTCTGTCCTGATTGGCTGTTAGAGCTGCCTTTCTGTGGCCAGCGCCATCAGGAAGGTAGAAGTGAAGCAGAGGTGACAGTCTTGCAACCCGGATATCGGGTTGAACAGCCTCTTTCTCAACACTGTCCAGAGGCGGAGTAAGACCCTATAGTGCGAAGCACCCAGACCCAAGTCGTAGGAGAGTGTGGGTGTTGGTGTCACCCCAGGTTATATCTGGAAAAGTAGTCTTCTTCACCACTTCACTTTGCCAAGACCAGCTCTGCTCTCTGAACACAGAGCACAGGCGGCTAGTGCCATGGGAGACCGTCTGAGATCAATCTGGCAATGCAGCCACGCCAACCGCCACTCTCCGCCTTCTACCCCTTTAAACACAGAGTTCATGATAAACGGCAGGAATGGGAACAGCCTCTTTCTCAGCTCCACCCCAAGCTAGAGTTAGAACCTTTGGTGCAAAGTACCCAGTCCCAAGTCGCAGGAGGGTATGGGTGATAGTGTCTCTTCCAGTTATACCTGGAAAAGCCGCTTCCTTCACACCTCCACTTTGTCCAGGTGGGCTCTGCTCTCTGCATACAGAGCTCGGGATGGCTCGTGCAGCTAGAGACCGTCTAAGATGGGGGGGGGGGCAGCCGCGACATGCCACTCTCCACCTGCTATCTCTTTAAATACCAGTTTGGAGATAAGCGGCAGGTATGGGAAGAGTCTCTTTCTCAGCTCCGTTCCAAGGCAGAGTTGGAGCCTTTGGTGCGAAGCGCCCGGCCCCAAGTCTCAGGAGGGTGTTGGTGAAAATTTCTCCAGGCTCTATCTAGGAAAGCCGGCTCCTTCATAGCTCAGCCTTGCCCATGCATGCTCTGCTCTCTGGGCACAGAGCACAAGTGGCTTGAGTAGCAAGAGTCTGTCCAATATCAGACTGGAAGGGCAACCGGACCGCCACTCTCCCCCTCTGTTTCCCTAAATACAGAGCAGGTGACAAGTTCCCAGGTATGGGAGCAGTTCCTATCTCAGTTCTGCCCAAAGGCGGAGTTGGAACCTTTGGCACGGAGCGCCAGGTCTCAAACCGCAGGAGAGTGTGAGTGAAAATTTCTCTATAGGCTCTATCTAGAAAAACAGGCTCCTTCACAGCTTGGCCTTGCCTGTGGGCACAGAGCACAGGTGGCTGTGTAGCAAGAGACTAGACCGTCCAATATCGGACTGGCGGGGCAGTAGCGCCTATCGCCACTCCCTCCCCACTCCCCCTCCAAACACCGAGTCCGAGTCCGAGTCCAAGTAAAACTGCAGGGATGGGGGACGGGAGCAGTGTTGGAGGCTCAGGGGGACTTCCCCCAACTCGCAGAGTCCCTACAGATCAAGGAACCTAGCTTTGTGCTTGTCTACTCAGCTCCAGCGAAAACCTCTACTATATCAAAGGTCAAAGCCTCCTTTCTTGTATACTCCCCTCACCCTGGACCTGGAAGCAACCTGCAGCAAGATGCCAGAGTGGGCTCCCGTTCCTGCCGAGCGGGGGGAGCTACTGCTGGGTTCAGACCCTCCCCCACCTGAAACTGCCTCAGCTGCGCCCTAAGGAGATTTCAAAATGTTCCCTGTTCTAGTCTCCTCTCCACACAGTTTTGTCCGGCGCTACCATTAACCACCAACTTCAGACACTTCCAGACCTACGTGGGTGTGGAGCTCGGTGTAGGAGGGGTGACTCTCAGCGTCAGATAGGGCTGATGCCACTGCCATCTGGCAGCCGCTCAAGCGGTGCCTCGCTCCCTTCCTGTTGTATATTTCCGATTCCCTGGGTTTTGCAGAAGAATATCCTATTCACCTTTGATTTCAGCTGTAGATTGTCTTATCCCTCCGTTTCCCGGTGAATGTCTGCAGGCTTGCGAAGCTGCAGTGCATATCACTCACGTGTGGTTGTCCGCTGTCTTCACTTTCCGCTCTGGAAGCAGAGAGCCAGGAGGCCACCCCTACTCTGCCATTTTTCCCATCCTAGCACTAAGAAATTTAAATATCCATATCGTAGCAAACTGGTGGCCAATTAAACATTCAGGGTCGACAGATGCAGGGAGACTGGAGCAGATCGGATTCCTATATGGAGAGGGCATCTTCACAGGCGAAGAAGGCCTAGCTGTAACAGCTTTTCAAGTTCTGTCTTCTCAGCAAGGATGAGAGGCACTCCATTGGAGGGGAGGTGTGCAATCTGGTGCTCTTCAGGCAGGTCAAAACCCTCAAAATCTAGAGAATTGAAGGGAAATAATTTTTCTATTTCTGGATAGCTGTCATCTGAGCAGGAGCAGAGCTTTTTGCTCTAACAGTCTTCTTGGTCATAGGGCCCAGATCCCAGCTTCATCCCATCCATAGGATCCACATGGGTGCCTACTTCTCTATTCTCCTTACCAACAAAGATCAGAATAGCCGCCTCCAATATTTTTAAAAATATTTTTCTGTCCTTTTCTTTGCCCCTTTTGTGAAGACTGCAATTATAAATGTAAATGTACATTTATATTAGACTATTAGATATTGTCCTATAGCTCACTGATGCCTTGTTGTCTTTTTTTTTCTCTGTGTGTTTTATTTTGCATAGTTTCTATTGCTGTGTTTTTGAGATAATTGGTCTTTTCTTCTGCTTTGTTTAACATACCATTAATCTCATCCAGTGTATTTTTTATTTTGGACATTGCATTACTTTGTATCTCTGGAAGTTTGATTTGGGTCTTTTGTTATAATCTTCCATGTGTCACTTAGCATAGTCATTCCTCTACCTTCTTGAACTTATGAGATACAGTTATAATAACTTTTTAATATCCTTTTTGGCTAATTCTCACATGTGTCAGTTCTGGGCAATTTTTTGGATTGAGTGATAAATTGATTGTTTTTCTCATTATGTATCATTTTTTCCTGCTACTTTACATGCCTGGTGATTCTTGATTAGCTGCCAAACTTTATGAATTTTTCCTTGAAGGGTGCTGGATATTTTTGTATTGCTATAAATATTCTTGAACTTTGTTGTGTGACACAGTTAAATTCCTTGGGGACAGTTTGGTCCTTTCAGGGCTTGATTAGAATGGATCAGAGCAGCATTTAGTCTAGGGCTAGTTTTTCCCCATTACTGAGACAATACCTTCTGAGTACGCTAGGCAGTCACAAGACTTTCCGTTGTCCTGACTGTTGCTCTGGATGGTTCTTTTCTCAGCCTTCGGTCCTCCTTGCATGTGTTGATCATTACTCTGGTGAGACTCAAGAGAGACCCTTTGCAGATCTCGGGAGTGTTGTCTGTAGCTCTCTCTTCTCTAGCACTTTGGCCTGTGAACTTTAGCTGACACAGAGCCCTATAGACTCAACCTTTTCTTGTGCTGTGGCCTGGAAACTCTCTAGGTAACATGCTCTGTCAATTGTAAGGCTACCTCTTTTGTTTCTCATATTTCAGGGATGAGTGTCCAGTGTCTGAAAATTGTTTTTATATATTGTGCCCAATTCCTTGGCAGTTACTGGTAGGAGGGCAAATATGATCTCTGTTACTTCATCTTGGCTAGAAGCAGAACCTTGAACTAAATTTTTTTTTTTTCTTATCACAGAAGCAGTACATTTTCAGCATAGAAAGTTGACAGGGTTGGGGAGGGAGGGAGGAAAATAAAGAACAAAAATCACCCATAATTTTTGTTACCCATCATAACCACCTTTAGTGTTTTTTGTTTATGTAACTTCACGTCTATACCCATTCTCTCTTTTATTTTTCTTTTGTATTTCTTACTAGTTCTCCCATGCTCTTTATTTACTGTTTTGTAACCTGGACCCAAAATTCTTTTCAAAGAGCCTGCTTGATGAAACTAAAATATATGCTATATGAGGTAATATTATCTTTGGAAACAGTCTAATTGGCAGCAACTAGGTCATCTCTAACACAGTTGCTATTAATTAGATTATCCAATTAATGGTAATTAATTAAATTAACCAGTTAATATTAAGTTAATACCTTAGACAGTTCCCCTTTCTTGTTTGTAAATTAATGGTTTACAAAGCCAAAAATATATACCACTGGCAAAGTTAGAATAATTAAGCTCATTATTAGCCTATATTGTTGATTCTTCAACTTGAGTATGCATGAGAATCACTTGGAAAGTGATTATTGGACCCTACCTCCAGAATTTGATTTCATAGATCTGGAGTAGCCTAAAATTTGCATTTCTAACAAGTTCCCAGGTGATGCTGATGCTGCTGGTCCTAGGACTATATACTGTGAGAACCACTGTCCTAGATTGTTGCTTGTTCACTGAGGGACTACCAAAATTTTCCTTAGTACTATATAAGGTAAACCATTTTGTGACTATTACTGGACTTTCTTAGGGTAAAAAGAAAGAGTTACCAGCTTCTTTCAATAATCAAAGTATGCAGTTGTTAAAAAAATAAAAAGTTGAGGGGAAGCAATATTCTATGGATATCAATTTGATTTTCTTTACTATGTTTATGGTCACAGAGAGGCTAACATGGCTGCTACTAGTAGCCTGCTTGACAAGTTATGGTCAGAAATAACTATAGAATATTGTATTTTCAGGAGAAGGTAATATCAGTAATACTAGTAAGTACTTTGAAATGTTTAGCTAGGATCCTAATTTATAATAGAGGCAGGTTTTTTTTGTTGTTATTATGTTCCAATATTATAAAGCTTTAGATTTTATCTAAGGATTCCAAAGAACCTCCCCATACACATTCATGCTTCATTTCATACTGTTTTATTGCTAAATTGATTTTCATTGGAACTTTTATTTGAAAAGATAGAGATTATGTACTAGTTGAGTTCTTTATTATTTTGCTGATGTATTAATTAGATATATTTTGATTTGTTAAATACTTATATGCCTTTTCGATAACAGTGTTCTTTGTTTTTTAAAGCCACTGGATGTGGACAAAGATTCATCCCTGGTAACTCTTTGTTATGGACTCTGTGTTCTGGGACGGAGAGCTTTGGGGACTGCATCCCACCATATGTCCAGGTAAAGAACGCATTTCTGTTTTCAGGAAGAGAATATGGGAAGCTGTATAACCTAAATCTGAAATCATATTTTGTGGAAGCATTCATTCTATCTATGCTAATTTATTATAAAAGTCCCTAGATTTTATCTTGAGATCTTTTTGCTGAATATAGTTTAGTTGTCCTAACTGGTTAACAGAACTGGCTTTTAAAATTCGCACATTTGTGGGTAGCTATTGGTAATGATAATTTGATGAATTTAAGACATTTTCAAATATAATCACCCCATGAAGTATGATTTGTCTCTTCCCATTTATATCTATTTTTCTAATAAGTTCTTTTGTTTTTATTTTTCCATGTTTTCTTGAAGCCTCTGTTCAGAGCATTTAGATTTGGGGACTCTAAATCTAAACTGAATTTCCTGACATATATATCCAAATGAATCAGAATTAAGAAATACCACACATTTTGAATTTCTTCTCTGATAATGACATGTTTTCCATTAAGCCCTTCATAATTTATTTTAATTTATAGGCTCTTTGCCTGTTGTCAGTTTTGATGGAGTTACTATTACAGTGGTTCTTAAACAAGGATCTCAGGTCAGACAGACTTTCTCGATCTCTTGTGATTCTGGTTCAGGGGTGGTGACATTAGTTCTTGGAATCTGCATTTTGAAAACACTCCCAGGTGATTCTTATGTATACTCAAATGTAAAAATCAGTGACATGGAAGACTTTTGTCAAAATATGTGAACTTTTATCTCCAATCTTAACAGTAATTTAGAGTCATTCCTGTATGGATTGCATGCCCTATTTAAAGGAGATTTCCGTATTTCTTCAATTCGAGATGAATGGATCTTTGCTGACATGGAATTGCTAAGAAAAGTAGTCGTCCCTGGAATCCGTATGTCCATTAAACTTCATCAGGTAAGAAGGTGAAAATTTTCTAAGGTGTTTATGCTAATTCTTCACATGAATTCCAAGTTATGTTTCTTAGGAACCTTTTGACAAATATTCTGATGTGAACCAAATAAAAACATGATTTCATGACAAGATATTAAACCTTAAAAGCCTGAACTTATGTTTCAAACAGTAAATTTGAATTTTAATATTAGAGAGTAACTGACTTAGGCATGAACTTGAAGAAAAATTAAGCAGTGACAAGCTAGAAATAAAGGTCTTTGGTCCTATAATACTTGCTTTGACTTCATGTGATTGTAATTCACACCTCTTCCCTGGATGAATATTAGCCAAATGTGCAGCGTAGTTACAACTCAAGAGTGTTGTAAGTTCTGCAGTTACTGAACTGAGTTTCATTTTGTTCATTATGTAGAATAATAGTTGGTTAGGACGGACTTAGCTTTAGTTAATTAAATAATCCTAGTGGGGTAATAACATTGAAAGGGGCCCCACAATGCATTTCCAAAGGCCTAGATCATTTCAAGACTATTGTGTGAAATTAAGTCCTGGTGCTTTGTCCTGTAATCATTCCACTGGACAGTAATTACCAGATCTGACGATAGAGACCCCATGATAAAACTCATTAAAATGCATCTGCCATGTTCAAATCTGATTGAATCTCCCCCCACCAAAAAATAAATAAAAAGTAAATTAACTCTTCAAGTGATTTTACTACAATCTAAAGTGTTAGAATTAAGTTACCATCTCACAGTCTTTGGGAGCATTGCTAATAAAGGGTTGTATTATTTGGAAATCTTTGTTAAAAATGGAATGCTGTTTTGAGGATGATGGGGAAAATATTCATTTAGGATCAATTAGAATTGTCCATCTTTAGACTAGCTTTAGAGTTTGAGACAAAATTCAGTGCATTTAAACAAAAAAGAGATAATTACTTCAGATTAAAATGTTTTTAAAACTTCAGAATTTCTCAGAAGGTACCAGTTGTATAGCTACCATGTAAGAAATACTGTATTTTGTTTAACATAAGTATCTCACAACTTGTGACAAACTTCTTTAATTAATTCTAAATGCTATAACAGATATTTTATGTTCATTTGTCTAAGAAGAAACTTAGGTCTCTACCCCTAGTCTCTCCTTGCAGGTACTCTTACATGTTCCTGCTTGCGTCTCTTTCCAAACATATTCCTTTAGCTATGGCATTATTGCCTATGTCAGTGGTTGGCTTGAGTACTTTACCTGAATACAAAAATCATCAACCTCCCAACTATAAATATGAAGGCAGCCAATATAATATTTACATTTCTTCAGTAACACACCATTGCAAAAATTCAGATTTCTGTTATGGTTATTTTGGCATATGTCCTGTATCCCCTATTAATTTGTAGGTTTATAAAAGGGAGGTGCATTTCATATACCTCTTTCTATGCTACTTGCCACAGAGTCTTATACATGGTAGATACTGAATAACCATTTATCAAATGAACGAGTAGTTACTGACTCCAAGAGCCTTTACAGGGAAGACTTTACTGACTTCTCTAGGACTAGGACCATTAATTTACACTCAAAGCTCAGAGCTTTCAGCTGTATCTTAACTATATGAGAAGCAGGATAAAATGATATATTAGAACCATTCTAAAGGTGAGGCTTTCTATGAAAAGTATCTAATTAAGAAGAAGCACAATACAAAGACCTCTTGTGTAGTTTTAGCCTTTCTTAACTAACAAAGAGATAATCTTTCAGCAGAAAATATATATATGAATAAAGATATGAAAAACCAGCCTAAAAGAGAAAAACAGAAAATATCTAAAAACTGTAAATGCTATTTGTTTGACTAGAACTTAGAGAAGAGGGTTAGATTGAGAAATTTACAAAGTAATTATAGCAGTAATGAGTGAATTCCTAACCTGGTTGTGATTGATAATCTATAATTTATCTCTAACAATATTAGCATGTGTTAATATGAAATGTTCATATTAAATCAGTTTTTAAGAACTTTCTCTTAGTAGCTTAGTAACTGTAGAAGTTATTATCATCCTGGAAGTCATTGTATTTTTCCTAAAAGCCTCATATATTTTTTATTTTTGCATTTAGGATCATTTCACTTCTCCAGATGAGTATGACGACCCTACTGTGCTCTATGAAGCCATTGTGTCTCATGAAAAAAACCTCGTAATAGCCCATGAAGGGGACCCTGCATGGCGGAGCGCAGTCCTTGCCAATTCTCCCTCCTTGCTTGCTCTGAGGCATGTCATGGATGATGGCACCAATGAATATAAGATCATCATGCTCAACAGACGCTACTTGAGCTTCCGGGTCATTAAAGTACGTTTTGAGGCATTTATTTGTGTCTAAAAAAATGGAAGTTGGATAACTTGACCCAAACTTTTAAAAAGTGAATGAAATTTTTCACAGAAACAAAATGACCATACCATAATACATCGGTGGTTTTTGTTTATGAGCTCTTAAGTTGACTTATTTTGTTAGTAATTCTGTCCTCTGAAATTTTCTCATGTGCTATAAAACCTTAAAATTTTTTGCTTATTTCAATTTTGGCAGTGTTTTGTCCATTATATGTCAGGTCTAAGTATCTATCATACATGTGATTTGGGCAACATCTCTTTTTAAACATCTAATGGCTTTTTAAACATCTTTAGGAGGCTTAATTTCTGAACTTTTATTTTTATAGTTTATAATTATTTGTTTTTATCTACATTATTTAGTCAACCCCCAGATGTCACATTCTTTCAACTCTTAATTTGTTACATCTCATTTCTATAAAAAAAAATAGTAAAACAAGCTGTTGTCTTGTTTAACAAGAATCTGTTATCTTGTTTACCAAATTCAGTACTTTGCCAATTTAAAAAACTAAATGGACATCATTTTACTTGATACTTTAACAAGACAGCAGGAAAGGGAGCTCTGTAGGTGCTTATTATTTAACAACCTGCTGATGACAAAGGAAAACTGGTTAACTGTCACTCAAATGTGACCTACTTATGTTTCCTGCTTTTCACAGTTGGGTATTATAATGTCTTTTATATTCTGCTCTTCTGATGCAAATATTGTTCTTGGCCCTTTAACCTAATTCACATGTGTTCTGGTTTTCAGGTGAATAAGGAATGTGTCCGAGGTCTCTGGGCAGGGCAACAGCAGGAGCTTGTTTTTCTACGTAACCGTAACCCAGAGAGAGGTAGCATCCAAAATGCAAAGCAAGCCCTGAGAAACATGATAAACTCATCTTGTGACCAACCTATTGGCTACCCAATCTTTGTCTCACCCCTGACAACTTCTTACTCTGACAGCCATGAACAGCTTAAAGATATTCTTGGGGGGCCTATCAGCTTGGGAAATATCAGAAACTTCATAGTGTCAACCTGGCACAGGTGAGCCATGGGGTTGCAGTTTTCAGTAATGGTGTATCATGACCTTTTTATCTAGACAAAGCACATTAGCATCACTGGGGAACTTGTAGAAAAAATACAGATGCCATGTCACAATATAAGCCTATTATATCTGAACTTCAGGAAGTATTAGGTCATTAAATATGAAATGTCCAATTTTAAATCAAAAGTTTACTTTATGATATCTCAAACAAGAAGCAGTACAGTTAATCAGAGTATGCACTTAAACTGTCAACACAGTTTTGCCATCTTAACAGTAGTTTGTTTATGCCAACAGCAGAGAAGCCTGGAGAGTGAGTAGTGGTGAAATCGTGAAAGGCGTTTTCCACAGCTTGTTGAGAATTGACTATTTTTTCTCGCAAGAAGTGGTCTAAAGCCTGGAAGAAGTGGTAGTTGGTGCAAGGTCTGATGAACACAGTGATTGGCAGAGTTTCCAAGTCTAGCCTCTGTAATTTGAGCAGTATTGTTTGTTTGACATGTGGTCAATCATTGTCTTGCAAGAGGATTGTCCTGTCTCTATTGATCAATCTCTGCTACTTAATCATCCTCCTCTTTTTGTCCACTTGGTTGCAGTAGACATTGCTGTAATCAATTGACCAGGTTTCATGAAGCTATAGTGAATAATACCAGCGCTGGACCACCAAACAGACACCATTAGCTTTTTTTGATGAATATTCAGTTTTGGACTGTGGTTTGGCTCTTCATCTTTATCCAACCATTGTGCTTGTGATTGTCAAAAGAATCCATTTTTCATCACATGTAACAATATGGTGACCTTTATGTCATGACAGCAAAGAAAGGCAAGCTTCCAGTCAGTTTCTCTTCTGATGCCCCTTTAATTCTTGTGGAACCCATCTATCCAGCTTCTTTACCTTGCTGATTTGTTTCAGATGGTCCGATATTGGTGAAATAGTAATGTCAAACCTTGCTGCTAGTTCACATGTAGGTTGAGATGGATTTGCTTCCACCATAGATTTCAGCTCATCATTATCCACCTTGGTTTCATGTCACCCACATGGCTCATTTTCTTTTCTTTTTTTTGTTTTTGAGATAGAGTCTCACTCTGTCACCTGGGCATGGTGTCAGCCGAGCTCACTGCAACCTCAAACTCCTGGTCTCAAGCGATCCTTCTGCCCCAGCCTCCCAAGTAGCTGGGACAACAGGCTCATGCCACTGTAATTTTTCTATTTTTAGTAGGGGTAGGGTCTCACTGTTGTTCATTCTGGTCTGGAACACCTGAGCTCAAGCAGTCCTCCTGCCTCAGCCTCCCAGAATGCTAGGATTACAGGTGTGAACCACCACACCTGACCCATGTGACTCATTTTCAAGATTAAAATCACCAGAACAAAACTTCTCAAACCATATATGTACTCTGTGTTCATTAGCCACATCCTTCTCAAACACTTCATTGATATTTAGAGCTGTCTGCGTTGCGTTGGTTTCACAGCAGAACTCATGTTAAAAAATAACTCAAATTTTTGACTTGTCCATGGTTTCACAAAAATTGCTCTAAAAAAACTTTGAAAGATAATCTCAACCCAACACATGTGTTTGAAAGAATGAGGATGTACCTTAACAATAAAAAGGAAACAAGAAGTGTCAAAGATATCAACTGTCAAACTTAGTATTAATACTTAAGGAAATCAGACATTTCATGCTTAATAACCTAATAGAATCTGAGCATTTTTGTCTTCAAAATCTTATTAGATAAATCTAATGTACAATCCAGGTTAAGAAGCATTGTTCTGGTATTTGGTGGAATTTTGAATAATCCCCTTTTCTTTGTTTAATTTTTTTGACTTTTTATTGCATATTGCCACTATTAGAATGTATGGGCCAGCAAACAGGGCAGATTAAGAGAAAAACATAAGAAACATGCAAGTTGATTCCCTTCTTCTATTTTAGCATCTGTTCCAGCACAAGGGGAGCACTCTGCACATGTTGGAACTTCTGGTTGTACAATCTAGAGATACTACTGTCTTTTTAACAATTCAGTACCACCTAAATCTCAAATCTGCAGCGTTTTCAAGTATTCACATGAATTTTTTCTCTGTTGTTTGTCTAGTGAATTATGATGTCTTATGTAGGAACATCATAGTTTCATGGCAAAGAAAACTTTTAGAGCATTGTTTTTAATTTCTTAAGAATTATTCAGATTCTTAAACATCAGAGCTTAAGAAAAATAGAATCTGGTGATTAGAGAAGCTAATGGGCTCGCTGTCAATCCTTAACCAAACACAAAGAAAAGAAGCCAGGGAAGACATTTGCTTTTTTCCAGAAAATATCTGTTGTGCTGCCATTACCTTAAAGAAGTCTTTCCTCCTAAGAGAAATGGCCAGCTGTCTTGGTTTGCTTAGTCACCAAGCAAACCAATTTTTTATGTTAAAAAAAATAAAAAGGAAAAATGATTGCAGCAGCTCTCTTCAAGTGTGCTATATTAACAGTATAAATAAATTAGATTTTCAGGGGTTGTATACGTCAGAGTCACTGAACAGACACTGGCAAGAATTCTGTTTCTAGCTGTGATCTTAATGATACAACTGTGTTATATACAGTTCTTTATTATGGTATAGGAAAGATTATAGTGTATGTGAAAGTGAAGTAGATTGGAAAGATTTGAAGTAGTGAGTATAAGAATGGTATCGTTTTAAGCCATACAGACATAACAGACTTTTGTTCCTAATATTGATTCCACCATCAAGATTTTCAAAGGTGAACATTAGTACCATTAACAGTTCAGAATAGCTGGAAAAAGAAAAAAATATTCATGTTGAAGTGATGGTGGGATAACACTTCCTACTCTGGTATTTGTTCCTAGGCTAAGGAAAGGTTGTGGAGCTGGATGTAACAGTGGTGGCAATATTGAAGATTCTGATGCTGGAGGTGGAACTTCCTGCACTGGTAACAATGCTACAACTGCCAATGATCCCCATAGCAACGTGTCCCAGGGAAGCACTGGGAATCCTGGGCAAGGATCGGGAGCAGCACTCCATCCACCTGTCACATCTCATCCCCCGACGCTAGGTAATGTGAAGCAAGGTTTTATGTGTAACATTAGCCTCTTAGTCATGGGGGCCAGTTAGTATGTTGTATAAAGAAGATTATATATGATCTGCCTGGAAAAAAGAGAAATAGAATATTTTGTTTGATTCCCAGATATACATTATGCCATTTATTTATATTAATCATTTTTTTATTTATATGTATCACATACATAATCCTTTTAACTTGACATTTGACATGAATAGTCAAGGCATTAAGGATTCCTTGAAAATATTATTTTTAAAGGCTAATATTGCATTATTATAATTTAACTTCTCTTCCGTTGGACAATGACTTGATTTCTTCTTACACAATGTTGTAATAATCTTTGTACATAAATCTTTGTAATCACTTATTTTCTTAGACTAGAGACTTTAAAACTGGTATCATTGGGCCAAAACTTAATGAGAATAAGGCTTTTAATATATAATACCAAAAATCTTTCCATGAAGTTTTTTTTTTCTTTGTACCATTTGTTACTTTCACCAGTCTTATATAGGAATGCCCATCTCATAAACTTTCACTAGTCTTGAGTATTGTCAATTCCCACCTCTGCTCCCTGTTTGCTCAGGGGAGGTAAGAAAAGGGGTGGCCTTTAATTTCATTGTTTCAATTTACATTGCTCTGATCCCGGAGATTGGAAGTTTTTAATGAGTTTATCAGCTGCTCCTCTTTCTGAAGTGCCTATTAAAGTGTCTTGCTTATTTTTCTGTTTGGTTATCTTTTTCTTAATTGATTTATATTTTATATCTAGGATTTGAGTTCTTTGTCATTTTTCTGTACTAAAAATATCTTTTCCCATTCTGTCCCTTGGCTTTTCATTCCCTTACTATGAAAAATGCTTGTCTTCTTTCAATGAGAAGTTTTTAATTTTAGTGTAGAACAGTTAACTAATCTTTTCCTGTATGATTAGTATTTTTTGTATCCTATTTAAGAAAATGCTCCTTATCGCAGGGCCCTCAGAATATGCTTTTACAAATTTACCTTTGACGTGAGATCTACACACCACCTGGTTATGCAGTAGAAATCCGGTTCCGTCTGCTTCAGTACAGCTGGCCAGTTAATCCATCCAGCGTTGTCTCTCCCACACTGCTTCACATGGATCAGATGAAGTTTTAAGACGTTTACTTAAATTAAGGAAGAAAAATTCCAATTGAATTGGAATGAAGAGTCTTAAGTAGTTGTGTGATCAATATTGAATTTTTTTTTTTTTTACTTCTAAGTGAAAACTTAAAACTTTCAATGTACCTTTTTAAATGATCTTTTTGCTTACATTTATTAGCTCCTTTTATTTTCAGGTTAACGTACATGTAGCTGTGTTTTCAATATAATTAATGATTATTTTCTAAACTTTACCTTACTGTTATGAGTCAGGAAGAAGACAAGGCTAAAGAATTGTATCAAGCCACTTGAAAAAGGGTGCAGAAGAACCTACTGTGCAGCATCACTGATAACTTGTATTTAGTAGTAATCCCTTAATGTATATGAAAATCACGGTATGGTGTCCTCTGTGTCTCTCTAGGCAGTGTGGCTTGTCATTGCAGTAGATTGAAAGAGCAGTAATATTAATACTATACCTTGGGAAATAGAGGTTACAGAGTATGACACCTAGTAGGTCCTTAATAAATATTTCTCTTTTTTTAATTGGCAAATAAAAATTGTAAATATTTATGTTATGCAACATTATCTTTTGATATATGAATACATTGTGAATTGATTAAGCCTGGCTACTTAACATACCCATCACTTTATATACTTAATTTTTATGGTAAGAGTATTTTAGATCTATTCCCTTAGCAGTTCTCAAGCATGCAACACTTTATCATTAACTGTAGTATTCACCATGCTCTACAATAGATCTCCAGCTCCTACTAACTGAAACTTTGTACCCTTTGGCCAACATCTCCCCATTCTTCTCCCCGCCCCTGACCCCTGTCAGCCACCAATCTACTCTCTGCTTCTGTGAGTCCAATTTTTTTAGATTCCATGTGAGTGAGATCGTGCAGTATCTTCTTTTTTTTAATTTTAATGAACATCTCACTGATACACAATTTGCAGTATTTCTTAATGAATATTTCTGATTGTCTCGTTTTCATAAGATATTTCATTACTGATATATTAAAGAGGTATTCTTGTTATTCTGAAATCTTTCTGTGAAAGATATTGTAGAATTTATCTCAATCTAAAGTCCTGATATTTGCTGTAAAATACTTAATTATATCTTTCTTATGCCCCAGAATGTGAATTATAAAAAATTTTAACAAATAAAAAATTATAAAAACCACATAAGAAAACAAATCTTAGATATCTGGGGGTTTGCTTTTTTTTTTTTTTTGATAACTTTGAAAGTTTTAGATATAAAATTCTTTTTTTTTTCCTCTTAATTTTTAGTTTTTGCCTTTCTCCACATGCTCTAATAAATACTAAGTTCTATCAGTTCAGCAAGTAATTGCTTAAGGGAGAGAGTCTTAGAAACTACAAACAAAAGCATTGTATTCCCTTTGAGTGAGTGCTGTTACTGTTTCTTCTTGTAGGCACCAGCCACAGCTCCCACTCCGTACAGTCGAGCCTGGTCAGACAGTCCCCTGCCCGGGCCTCGGTAGCCAGCCAGTCTTCCTACTGCTACAGCAGCCGGCATTCGTCTCTCCGCATGTCCACCACAGGATTTGTGCCTTGCCGGCGCTCTTCCACCAGTCAGATTTCACTTCGAAACTTGCCGTCATCCATCCAGTCCCGCCTGTCCATGGTGAACCAGATGGAACCCTCCAGTCAGAGCGGCATGGCCTGTGTGCAGCATGGCCTCCCCTCTTCCAGCAGCTCCAGCCAAAGCATCCCAGCCTGCAAACATCACGCTCTCGTGGGCTTTCTTGGGACAGAGGGAGGTCAGAGCAGTGCCACTGATGCACAGCCAGGCAACACCTCAAGTCCTGCCAATAATTCACACACCAAAAAGGGGGAAGTGATTTACAGAGTCCAAGTAAGTAAGCCCAGAGGTCATCTGGTGCTGTTTTTGTTTCTCGTTTGTGTTTGTTTATTATTTGTTGTATGCAGGACCCTTGTGAAACATCTTATCTCACTTAGTCTGAAGACTAGACTGTTTTTGAATGTTGGGGAGAAAAAGTTTTTGTCAGGTTAAAAGCAGGCCAGGCATGGTGGCTCATGCCAGTAATCTTAGCACTTTGGGAGGCCAAGGCTGGAGGATCGCTTGAGCCCAGTAGTTCGAGACCAGCCTGACCTATATAACAAGACCTTGTCTCTACAAAAAATTGAAAAGTTAGTCTGGCATGGTCTTGGGTACCTTAGTCCCAGCTACTCGGGAGGCTGAGGCAGGAGGATTGCTTGAGCCCAAGAGTTTGAGGCTGCAGTGAGCTAGGCTGACACCACTGCAACAGAGCAAAGCTCTGTCTCAAAACAGAAAACAAACAACAAAAAAAACTGTAAACCAGTTTTGCTGTGATAAAATTTTTTCCCTATTCAGCCATTGTAATAAAGTCTTCCAGTAGGCTAAAAGGAATTCAGGAGGTGGCTCTTTAGATTTTTTTTTTTATTCCATTATAGGAATAAAAAAAAAACTTGAGACACAAAAAGTCCTGTGAAAGAAATTTTGTTTGGGAATATATAATTCTTCAACATCAGGAAGAAAATGAATTGGAAATGATTCATATTTATATACAATATAGATTGTGGATCCCAGTCAAATTCTGGAAGGGATCAACCTGTCAAAAAGGAAAGAACTACAGTGGCCTGATGAGGGAATTCGGTTAAAAGCTGGGAGAAATAGCTGGAAAGACTGGAGTCCTCAGGAGGGCATGGAAGGCCATGTAAGTTCTTTTATGAAGCCAACTGTATGGTGGTGTGACTTTTTTATAGTCTGACTGAGTTGTGTGCATGGTTTAAGCTGCTTTACAGTGAGGGATAAAAGTTCGTGGGTATATTCAAGGTCTCTAGCACTAACTTCTTGTTTTACTCTAAATCATTAGGTGATTCACCGATGGGTGCCTTGCAGCAGAGATCCAGGTACTAGATCCCACATCGACAAGGCAGTGCTTCTGGTCCAAATTGATGACAAATACGTGACTGTAATTGAAACAGGGGTACTAGAACTTGGGGCTGAAGTGTGAGCCTTTGTTTTATAACTGTATTTCTTTTTCCCTCTCAATTCCAAGACATTGGAAAGAGAGGAGCAAGCAGAAGATGCCTGCAGGTATCGCTTTGGTCCTCTGTGGGAGAGACTTGAAAACAGTGAGCTTGGTTCAGCACTTCTTCTTTGCCATTCATCCTGACTCCTGTCGCTGTCTCCATCCCCAAATAAAGCTGGATATTTTTTTAAATTAGCTGCCAAGAAAACATTTTGCATGAAGGATAAAGTTCAGTTAAAATACATCCTTTAAAAAAAGTTTTTCCTATGCATTGCCTATGCTTTAAATCAACAAACTCTTCATTTCTAAACTACAAGCTCATATTTTTCTAATTTCTTTGCCAAAAATAATTGCCATGTTTTGTCATAGAACATGAAATCCATTTACCTTGATTTTTAAAATCAGACCAGTGTAGAAACACATTCAGTTTGACATATAGTAGTATAAAAGTTTAATGTACAGTGAAAGAGACTATGAACAGACATAGATTTATCTTATTCCTTGAGCGCTAAAAACTTTAATGAAAAATCTGCACTAATTTTTTACAACAATGCACTAAAGTTTGAGATTTCTTAGAACATTTATTTATATATAAAATAAAATGCCATTATTTAAATTGCCTTTGGAATTAACCCCTTCCCTTTCCTTATAAACATAGGTAGCAGAAACTGTGCTGCTCACTTTTCTGTTAGTAGTCTGTACTTCATGCCAGTACATTGGATGTTTTCTTTAAAATGAATCTGAAATCTCAAGATAAAATAGCTTCGTTATTGACATTTCTCGGAGCCACCAGTCAGTGATCGGTCACGTGAACACCACTGCCAGCTACTGTGTCCACATTTCAGATGAGCTCCACGTGTTCTGCTTCTCTCTACCTGGGGCGAGCTCTGCTGGGGTCACTTCTGGGAAGAAAATACTTTGGCTTTTCAAAGAAGAAGATGAACATCCAGGAATTTAAAGAAAGGATCAATTGCCTTTTATTTATTTTAAGAGTTCCTAGCTCTTGAAGTCATTTACATGCAGTTCAGTTAATCAAGTAAAATTTTTTTCAAACAAAATGTTCCAAATGGTGCAGTTCTTACTGTTGTAACCTTCTTTAATAATTTTTCCCCCTCTTCTTTTTCTATTACTTGAATTTTATTTCCTGTAATTTATAGTGTGTAGCTGTAATTTGAAATATTTATAACTGTGAAATTGACTTAATTCTTATGTTGTTGCAGAACTTAAATTTTATTGGTTTTTTAAAAAGCATGTATTCAGGGAAATATATTACTCAGATTTACAATTGGGCTACATGGGAACTGCAATTTAGATTTAATTTGCAACTTAGCATTTTTTAAATCCATAAGAAAATTTTCCATTTTGGTGTGGAACTCCAAAGAACATTGTACATCTTCTCTGAGCATTTAGGAGCAGCCATCTTTCTACCCCCTGTGAATAGAAAGTAAAAAGAGGCAGGTAAAATTAACTTTAATAATATATTCTATTTAATCCAATATATCCAAAGTATTACTATTTCAATATGTGACACTAGCCATATTTCAAGTACTCAATAGCTACATGTGCCTAGAGGGTACTGTATTGGACAGCACAGGTTTAAAGTATCTTTTGATGAGATGACAGAAGAGAGAAGCTGTTTTTCCTATTCTGATATAGATCTCACAGTGTAGCATAACATTACAGTAGAAGGAATGAGAACTGAGAAAGTAAATAGCTACTGTACCGAATGCATTTCCACTTCAAAACCTGTTTATTTTCTTTTTATTTCTAATTTTAAGTTTTTGTGGTCATTCAGAACCTAACGTGCCTTGTGTTGACGTTTCTGTAGACTTCACACTTCGCAAAATTTACTGTTTAAAAATACTTGTCAAATGATTTACTGAACCTTTATACAAAGGTACCCTTTCTAAATTGACCATTTAAAAATGTACTTTCTGGTACTGTTATTATATTTTGTATTTGCCTCATTTTGGCAAATCTACAGTATGCCATTAAAGTTCAGTATTGGTTTTGGGTTTTTTGAGTTTTTTTTCCTGAAACAGAATATATGATCTATCTACGTACATATATATTTAAAATCTTCTCAAAGGAACTATACTCCATGATGCTGGTGGGTTGCTTGTTCCCTTTCTGAAGTGAATATTATCCTTTCATTGCCTAGGTAAGAGATAAGTGCAACCTTTTCACTCTTAGATGAAAGATAATTCATTTTCTCGCACAGAATCCAAAAATTAAAAAAAAAAAAAAAATCTTAAGATGATTTAATCAGAAGAGGTGAAATTTTTGTTGTTCCTAGCCCCTCCTCCAAAAAATTGTTAAACACATCACATACTCTGAAAAAGTCATATTTCAAGTGTCAGATTAGGTTTTATATGGAGCATATATATTGGGTTTTGATTTGGGGTAGCAATTGATAGACATTTTTCTCAAAACAAGTTAAATTTTATTATATAACTCTTTAGTGAATTTATAAATTAGAAACCCTAAGATCTAGAAGCCCTGTTATTTTTAAAGTCTAAACTGATAGTCTTTTAAAAATTATAATACTTTTCTAATAATTGCATCAGGGTAAATGGTGATAATTGAAGAAAGATTCATGTCTTAAAAATAATTTGTTCTGAATTATTATATAAAAAGAAACACCTAAACAACTTAAGTGATGAAAATTAATAAAATTGATCATAAATGTCTTATTTCTCCCCACCCCGCAGAGAATAGTGAGCTACTTGCTTCAATTCTCTGCGTAGCCTTCTTCAGTAATGTACAAGACTCCAGTATACATTAATGTCTTCAGTTCATAATTGCCAAAATTTTGGCTTCCATAATTTGAAAATAAAAAGATACAATTAAAACAGTAGTTTTTAATTCATTTCCTTTAAATAGAGTTGCATGATTGAAATCTTTCTGCTTTTTTCTTGTTTGTTTGATTTGATTTTTCCCCCATTTCATGAAAAAGGTGATCCTAGAATGAGTTGTTAATTGTTGCTTTTTTTCCTTTTATTTGCTTTTATTCAGTGGCAGAAAACATTTTATAATTTCTAATTAAGGTTTTGGTTCATCTTCCAATATACACCTTGGTGTGAACTCTCTTTTTACACCATTTTCAACACTGTATAAAACTTTAAATGTTGACTTTTGGCTAAAGAACTTTAATTTTTCCAAGAATCTAGGTTAATATAAGATGTTCTAGGTTAATATAAGATGTTGATATTTAAGGAACTTTGGAGAGTAGGTGGTGAGGCAGTATGTACATTTTTTAAGATAAGCAGATTAATTACTTTTTAGGAAATTAGCAAACAAAATCAGCATTCTGCCTTCTTTGGGTTTCCATTACTAGAAGATTAAATTCCATTAGATTTGAAGTATTTTGAAAAATATTTCAAGTATATCTGAAATACTTCTAATTTTTGAAACAGAAGTAGTCAGACAGTATTCCTATACTTAGACATGGAAAATTACTCTGTGTACTAAATATCAGACAATGAAAATACAAGTTTTATGTAAGAAAGTATAACTTAAGATGTATTTTTCTTTCTAGATTAGTTTATTTTTCTGTCTCATATCAAAGTATAAGAAACAGCCTCACATCTAAGCAAAGGTAACTTAGCCTTAATGAGTCCCACTTTGCTTCTGAGCAGCACACTCCTGCCTCTGCTTAAGCAAGTCTCTGGTGGGTTGCTGTATCAAGTCAGTAGTCCAAAACTGCATCTTTTAAACTTAGGACTCACCCAGTTTCTAATTTTTTCTTTCCTCTTTGCTAACTTTGAAGTGTTCTCCCTCCTTAAGTAAATATGTGACTTGATAAAAAGGTAATATTAATTTTGTGTGAGACTTCTTTGAACTTACGTTTACTAGCTACAAACTACAAACTGCTGTCCAGATTGTTAACTTTATATTTATTTTAATTTTTCATGAATTTTCATGGACAAAGCCCTTTCTGGTTTTTTGTTGTTGTTAAGTCTTCAGTATTCATCCTCATTGTTTTTTGTAGTGTAATGTAATTTATATAAAGTTACTTTGTATGGACATAGATCCAGTTAATTTTTTCTTTTAATATGATACATTGTTCAAAGAAGATACAAAAAATACCCCTTTTAATTCTAGAGGATTTTCCTTTAATTCTAAGAGCAATGGAGAGAATAATGTCAGTCAAGGCTAAGATGGTACATGGAAACTGTTAATGGACTTTGAACTTTCTGTTTCAGTGTTATGTGTAGCATACTAAGTATTATTGGTCTGGAGGAAGAAGAAAATTAGATACTAGGCAGCATAAATTTTAATATTGTGTTGAATGTGTGTAGCTTTTTAAAACTATTAAAAAACTAACCCTTCTTTTTCTTCATTTCTCTTTTGTTAAAAAAAATCTGGTTGATAAAAATCCAGGCCTTCTCATTTTTAACCTGATAAATGTTTAGGTTAAGAATTGTGATTGAAAAGGATTTTATTATTATACAAATAGGTCTGGTAGGATATGAGTGGAGTATTAATTTTGCTTGAAACAGAAGTATATTTTCTGCTTTGAATCACCAGAGTCATCTGTCAAGAGTTATGTGATAAGAATTTTTTCTTTATTGCCTATAAGCTATGTATTCTTTCTAAATTAGAGTAAAAATAATGTCTGTTTGTAAGCTGAAATTTATTATCTGCCATTTTGTGAAATCAACATAACATTCTTTGGGAGAACTAGAGCTGATTGTCACTTCAAGGTTATATGACAACTTTGTTCTAAGACTTATACCTATTATATAGGGTTATACCTTTTTTCTTATGCCTCAGCTCGTTACCTGACAATTTGTGATTCAAAGGAGCCAAGCTGGAAGGAACAAAGGTCATCTACCACTGATGGGGATGAATTTTGGGGTGTTACCTCCACAGATGAGGTGACACCTTGTGATTCAAAACAGTAGTAGTAGAGAATGAGATGGCTGCTCCAGATGACTCTTGCGTTTAGTGTACTTGTGGTTGAACAAGATTTTTATATATGAAGCTTGATTCTACAACCAAAATACTAGAAGGGGGGGGGGGAGAATCATGTCTGCTTATGCTTTTTAAAAGCTTATAGTTTAAGTAAAAGTAGATTGTAAAAACTGATTAGCCCTATATATGTCTGGCAATGAGCTCTGCATGAGGAAATGGAAGGAAGAATATTAAAAATGATTCTAGGAAGGTACGTGTGAAAAAGGAAAATGGGTTTTCCTTTTCTGATCATGGGCTCTGGAAATTATTCATTGCCTTTACCAGCATTCAGTATAAACCAGAGATTAAGGATCTATGTACCTGCGTGTGTCTGTGAGTGTGTGTGTATGTCTGAGTGTCATTCTAAACAGCTTGTAAATATTGTAGTTGTTTAAAATGGAAAAATAAAGGCTGAGGTGTTTTTTGGCAAATATATTGCATCAAAAATACAGTATTGACAGTGGATAAAACACTAAGAAATAAATTTTTTTCATTTTGCCTTCTGTCCATTTTTGTCAAATTAAGAAAAAGAGTATACTATATTAAGTTCTGTATGGAATATTCTTAAAACATGGTTCTGAAATCATTTTAAACAGAAGCTTTGGCCTATAAACAGGTAATTCAGCTTTTAATAGATCAGAAATATACACATTTCATGTTAAAAGAGGCTCTATTTCACACTTTTCTTGGTAGAAAGATTGTAATTTGTACCTTTTGAAATGATCTGAATGTTATATGTTAATAATATAGTAGATGGAACACGTAGGATGATAAAAATGTGGATATTTTCAAATGTACACTAAATTATACAGAAAATGGAAAGAACATTTGTATTATGGTTATCAAAATCAGGCAAGTACTAACTTGTTTAGTATACTTGTGGTGTGTAACCGGGTGATTTCACATAGTAGTACTTAAAGAGCATGCAAGCTGATTTACAGTGCGTGTAGACATACACTTGATCAAATCACTTGTTAAGCCTTTAATGAATCATTTTAACTATTAGTGACAGCCAGAACCAGCAAGATACAGATTCTTTGCCTTTTGCATCACAGTCCCAGACAATTTGCTATCTTTCTTCTGGGACCACAGTGGTGTAACTGGAAACATAGTGGTGTTTAGTCTTAGAGGACAGTGTTTCTCTAGAGTGACAGGAAACCTGCTGGTTAAATGAAACACATCTTCAGAGAAAGAAATTCCCTGTGTGAGTGAGTTGCAGTCATCTCACAGCCAAAGATTCAAAAGGCTGCTGACATGAAATTTGGGTCCCCTAAAACTTTCTTCTTATTCTTAAAGTGTGTTTTACTTAGGACTTTTTTTCCCATAAAGGATACAGAAATATTTTGCTGACCTGTAGCTAATGAATCTCACCAGGTAGGTGCATTTTCTCCAGGGGTAAGGTGGAAAGCAGCACTTTGTGAAGTAAGGGCCTGACTGAAGAGTGGCTCCTGGGTATTCAATTAGCACTTCTTATACAAAATATTTGTTTTTCTCCCTTAATATATGCTTATCAAAGGTAACTTCATACCTTGAAAAATATAATTTGATGTGAGAGGATCCCTAGGTTGCTTGCTAATTCTTCAAGATTTACATTAACTGCAAGTGGCCAGAGATGAATCTATCTTGTCTGGAAGACTTTTAAGAGACTGTTTGAGGGCCCAGTACACTGCACAAAGGGAAAAGTCACCCTTTAGTCCAGGCTTCATTTTTGCTTCCAAGAACATTATTTATGGATACATCAACAACTGGCCCATATAAGAATACTCAAGATTTCTGATCCCATCTTGAAGCAAATACTCTTGACCTGTCTTTATCAGATGAAGTCAACAACCCCAGATAGCACTCAACTTGAGCAGATACTCTGTAGTGCCTCTGTGTGTTTGTAGCACAGTTGGCTCTTGAACACGAGAGGATTAGTAGCACCAGTACCCTGTACTGTTAAAAATCCACATGTAACCTTTGATTCCCCCAAAACTTAAATGTTAATACTATTAATAATAGCCTACAGTTGACCAGAGACCTTACTGATAAGTCAACTAATACATATTTGTATATGTATTATATACTATATTTTTACAATGAAGTACACTAGAGAAAAATATAAGGAATAGAAAATATGTTTTCTATTAAGCAGACTGGATCATCATAAAGGTCTTCGTTGTCATGGTCTTCACCTTGATTAGGCCGAGGAAGAGGAAGCGTTGGTCTTCTTTGTCTCAGGATTGGCAAAGGCCAAAGAAAATCTGCATATAAGTTGACCCATGCAGCTCAAACCTGTGTTGTTGAAGGGTCACCTGTACTACTAACGAGTATATTCTCACCACTTCTCAGTTGTAGACCAATGATTAATAATGATACAGTGTTCTACAAATATCACAGTGGTAATTCTACGGTGTAATACAAATATGTAAAGGTGCACCTTTCTTTAAACAAAAGGCAAATTTGTCTAGTTTATAAATTTGGGGGAGACTCCTTTTGTACATTTGCAATGTGAAAGCATTTCTTTAATGAGTTTTGTAATATTAATTTACTTGGGATGTTACAGTTGCAACAAAGTGAAAACCAAATTCAGAGTTGCTGAAACAACACACGAGGTTGTTCACTATCTCCACTGATGTTCAACATTGTGCCGGAAGTCCTTGCCAGAGCAATCAAACAGTAGAGGGGAATTAAGGGTGTCCAAATGGGGGCAGAAGAGGTCAAACTCTCACTCTTTGCTGATGATATGATATTATATCTAGAAAATCCCAAGGATTTAACCGAGAGACTCTTGAAATTGATACATCAATTAAGTAAAGTCTCAGGATATAAAATCAATGCACACAAATCAGTGGTATTCCTATATGCCAGTAACAAGCTGAAAATCAAATTAATGATGCAACACCTTTCACATTAGCATCAAAGAAAAATATTTAGGAATATATTTAACAAAGGAGGTGAGAGACATATATAGAGATAACTATGAAACACTGAGAAAAATTGAAGATCTAAACAGATGGAAATCCCTACCATGCTCATAGATTGGTAGAATCGATATTTTTTAAATGTCCATACTACCTAAAGTGATCTACAAAATTAATGCAATCCCTATCAAAATGCCACCATCATTCTTTACAGATTTAGAAAAAATAATTCTACCCTTTCTCTGGAACCAGAGAAGACCTCAGGTAGCCAAAGCAATCTTAAAAAGAACAAATTGGGAGGTATCAGTCTGCCAGACTTCAAGATTTACTACAAGGCTCTAGTAACTAAAACAGCATAGTGCTGTCACAAGAACAGAGATACAGACCTTTGGAATAGGACAGAGACTCCACATATAAAATCATCCTTATATTGGTATCTAATCTTCCACAAAGCAGACAAAAATACACACTGGGGAAAAGAATCTCTATTCAATAATACTGGGAAAACTGGACATCCACATGCAGAAGATTGAAACTAGATCCCTACCTCTTATGTCTCACAAAAATCACTTCACGATGGATAACAGACTTAAACCTAATGCATGAAACCTTAAGATTCTGGAAGAAAACATTGAGAAGACTCTTTCTGACATCAAAGAATTTATGAAGAAGACCCCCAAAGCAAATCACAGCAGCAACGAAAATAAATAAATGGGACCTGATCAAATTAAAAAGTTTTTGCACAGCCAAGAAAACTACCATTAGAGTAAATAGACAACCTACAGAATGGGAGAAAATATTTGGTTTCTACTCATCCAATAAAGGGCTGATAACAAGAATCTATATAGAATTTAAGAAAATGAACAAGAAAAAAATCAACCCCATCAGTAAATGGGCAAAAGACATGAACAGAAACTTTTCAAAAGAAGACAGAATAATGGTCAGCAAACATATAAAAAAAAAAAAGTGCTCGATATCTCTAATCATTAGAGAAACACAAATCAAAACTTTAGAGATATCACCTAACTCCAGTGAGAGTGGCACTTACAAAAAAGTCCCAAAACAACAAATGCTGGCATGGATGTAGAGAGATTAGAACATTCTTACACTGCTGGTGGGATGCAAATTAGTACAACCCCTGTGGAAAGTAATTTGGAGATACTTCAAAGAGCTAAAAATATAAATACCATTTGATCTAGCAATCCCACTACTAGGCATCTACCCAAAGGAAAAAAAGACATTCTGTACTAAAGACACCTGCACTTGAATGTTTATAGCAGCACAATTCATAACTGCAAAGATGTGGAAACAACCCAAGTGCCCATTGATACATGAGTGGATTAATGAAATGTGGCATATGTATACCATGGAATACTACTCAATTACAAAAAACAATGGTAATGTAGCACCTCTTATATTATCCTGGATAGAGATTGAACCCATCCTAAGTGAGGTATCACAAGGATGGAAAAAACATGCACCACCTGTACTTGCCATCAAATTGGTACTAACTGATCAACACTAAGTTGTTCACATGGTAGTAATGCTCACTGGGTGCCAGTAGGGGTGGGGTATTCATAACTAACAGAAGGGGAATGCACTGTATGAGGGAAGGACATATTGATAGCCCTGGCTTGGGTGGGGCAAACAGCATTATATGTAACCAAAATGCGCCCCCACAATATCCTGAATAAAAAAGAAAAGTCTCAGACCCACATGCTATATATTCCAGTGAAATTCATTTGCATAAAAAAGTGAAAATATTCTAAGTATTAAATTCTATTATGTATCATGGTAGTATTTTAATTTTTTTCTGTATGCTTTTTCTCAATTTTCTGTGATGAATTTTCATATACCTACATCAATTGAAAAAACAGTGAACAGAAATCAAAAAATAATTTTGACTTCAAAGGTTATCTAAGAGGGTCTTGAACACCCTTAAGGGTCTGCAAGCTATGCTATGAGAGTCACTGTTAAAGGAATGTGTCCATCTCATTTTCATTTTCAAATTTATTGACATAAAGTAACTCATTCTTTCATCTTTGTAGTGTCTGTAATATCTGTAGCGATATTCCCTTTTTCATTCCTGGTATGGATTATTTTTGTCTTCTCTTGTTTAGGCTCAACAAAAGATTACCTTTTAAAAGAACCAACTTTGGTTATGTCGATCATTTGTATTTGTTTGTTTTACTTTATTCATTTCTGCATTTACGTTTATTCCTTCTACTTTCTTCTTATTTAGTTTGCTCTTCTTTTCTAGCTTCTTGAGATGGACACTCAGTTCTTGGGTTAACAGCCTTTTCTTCTTTTCTACTGTGTACGTTTTAAGATTATATACAATAGATCTCTATGTATTGGCTTTAGCTGTGTCAGGTAAGTTTTGATCTGTCATATTTTTCTTTTACCAATCAGTTCAAACTACTATGTGATTTCCATTATGATTTTTTTTTTTATCCATGGGCTATTTAGTTTCCAAATATTTAGGGGTTGTCTAGTTATCATTTTCTAGTTATTGCTTAACTATTGTCAAAGAAACTATTAATCCTTTGATATTGTTTAGCCTTGCTTTGTGGCTCAGTATATTGCCAATTTTAGT